TATCTACCATTACTTACCTTCAGTAGATGTCAAAGACAGGCTCAATAAGGCCGAGACGGACACGGCTACTCCTACTTCTACTAGCTACCAATGTGCCTGCATGTTAGTATTACTGGTACTAACACTGACGCTACCATTTGCCAGGGGGGACGCAGATTAAAGCCATCACAGGGGCTCATACCCCCTGATCTCAACAAGGAGTGTGAATCTGGGCTTAAACTATTCCGAGTAAGTACATGTTTGGGTCCTGAGCACAGCAGCACTTGCCTTGGTTTCCACCCCCTCGACTCCATCCATCAGGCTGTGTCCGTTTCTACTACTTTCGGAATAAGAAGATTAGGATACTGCTGCTAGGAGTACGTGCCTGTGCCAAAGTGCTAACTCTAGTGTCATGCCTACTAAGGCCAGTAAATGGACTGATCTAGTCCCCCACACACAACACACCGGGTGGTCACATTGATCCCTAGTCGCCGCGTGAATGACTGCGCGGGCTGTGAGACCCTCAGAGTCAATAGTAAAGCTCAGAAGACAAGTGGAGTTGTATGTAAAAGCGCTGAAAAAAGTGCCAATGCACATTTAGTCTGAGCCTGAGCACACCAACTTGCATTCTACCAGGGCTTTATGTGAGCTATCGAAAGCCAAGACTATTCGAGTATGATTGCAATATTGCTGAGTATATAATTGACCTCAAATGAACTCATACACGGTAGAATTATGGGCTGTGAAAGCGGCATGCCTAGTCATCTGGGTCGATGGTACTGGAGAGGAACTGCATACATAATAAGCACAGTCTCTTTCCATTAAACTTGGGCGCTTTTATCAAATTTATTGTACTTCCACAAAGGGAGCGCTAAACACTTTCACTTTACATGTCTTGTAGAAAATTGGAAAGGCCAGACTATCCATCTATGTAAAAAAAAGTCTGACAGTCCATTTTCCCTTGAAAATAAACCAGTATTTAACAAATCCTTATGGATTACAGACAGGTCGGCGTGTATGTTCGCTGAATACTCTCCTCTTTCTCTTCGGGCAGCTTTAAGGCAACAATTGGATTCGCACAAAACAGTGAACTATAGGCGCACCAATGCGAATGTTTCATAAG